ACTTTCAGGACTTTGCCTTCTTTCTCTGGACAATGAAAGGGCTTCATTCGAGGAATTTTAGGGTCCCTTTAGAATCCTAAGTAATCATATAGCTTTTGAAGGGCTGCAAGTCTTCCTCACCCTTTCATTAGAACCCCCTCCGACGCTTCTCACTGGTTTATGCTAATGGCACACTCATCAATGCATCTAGGAATTAAAAACACAGGGTTTCCTGGCATCATATCGTGGGTTTACTCTTAAGACCTTTAAGCAAGAGCACTGTCACACACTAACTGTAACAAAATAAATGTATGGCTTTACCTTAGCCGTGACGAGATTCCAGTCTAGGAACTATTTACACTGACAACAAGCAGAATGAGGCAGAATCAGGACCCGGATTAGTGCTACCCGAAGCTCCAAAGTCTCAGCTATGTCTTCCTGAGGCTGTGTACCTGCCACCTGCTTCCTCCACATGTCCCCTCACCCCAAGGAAGACAGGTGAGGAGGAAGCTTGCTCCTTTCCCCTGGCCTTTCTATAACCCAAATTTCTATGACTGATGCCACCTAAAATGGAAGGTGTCTGCCAGCTCGAGTCCTTACCAAGAAATGAGATGCCACAGAAAACACCACAATGATCAGACGTGACAGGTCCACGGCCATGCAGCCAACAACTCGTAAAGTCGTTGTAAACCACAGTGAACTAAAAATTATCATCTGCCTTGTCCCTCCCTATCTAGCTCTTTATCACACGTGGGTTAAGAGCAGAGTTCTCAAACAGGCCGATATTTAGGCTGCTGCTGGGGCGGACCCATGGTGGAAGGGTCAGGCAGCACCAGCCTCCTTCTCCTGCAGCATCATTCATGTTCAACGTGAGCCTGCTATATGGCAGGCCCAGTCCTGGGCACCTTACAAACCCTCACAGGCCCCACACCATTCTTCTGCCGTTGAGCAAAGAGGCTGCACAGTCCGAGGCAGCACCAAGATTTGTGGCTCTGAAGCTCACACTCAGAACCATTATGTGAAACCACCCACAAGTACAAAACACAAATACAAGTCTTCCCAATGCACTGGGCCTCCCGATGCTCACAGCTACACTGCTTCCCACTCACCAGACCACTGGCTCTGCAAAGAGCCTCCCTTCTTCACAGACATCACAGGAGCTCAGCTCGGGGTGGGGCTCACTGGGCCAGGAAGCCTCTTATCAGAACTGTGCCTGCATCCTCCCTGTTTTCTGAATGCTCCACCGAACTCTTAAACCCCACCCTCTTGCCTCTCCGGGAACATGTGTCTAAGAGTCCCTTCCTTCTCATTTTGATCTTGTTTTCTGCCTCTTCCCCTCAGCCTAAAAACATGCTCAAGAACACTACTACCTGTACCCCTTCCCCAAAAAGATGATGAAGAAGAAAATCGCCTTTGACCTTCATTCGCTTTTTCTTCTTTCTTTGTTTGGGGTTTGAACTCAGGGTCTCGGGCTTGCCAGGCAGGCACTCTACCACTTGAGACACTCTGCCAGCCTGATCTTCATTCACTTTTAATTTAATTTAACTTTAGCTACATCTCACTTTGTGACCCTGGGCAAAATGCTCTGAATACCTTCAAATTCTGTATTTAAAAAGACCGGAGGGTTCTTCCAGCTCCAACCTTCTGTGGTCTTTTATGCACAGGGTATTACCAAAACTTAAACCAGTTTCCTCATTGCCCTCAAGCCCACAGTTAATTTCCTTCTAAGACTGTCAAGCTGTTCCTCTACTAACAAAGCCCCTCTCCAACTCTATTCACTTCCCAAACCCTGATTTTCTCTAAGACTAGCTGCACCTCACCTGCTCTGGGACATCCAGACCCTTCTCCCACAGAACTTCGGATGTAAGCCACAACTGAGCGCTCGCCACCTGTCAGATATTGTGTTTCTCTTCATTCTCCCAACCAGGCTAAGTGCTCAGAGGACAGGGACAAAGTCTCCTGCCATAGCCATTATGGAAAGTAGTGGCCAGGGCTGTTATAAGACGTTCTAGGTATGAAGGAAACAACCTTCATTCTTGCTCTCCCCTCTCACATATACGTATTTGTAAACATAAACTTTTTGTTGAAGCTGGACGTGGTGGTACATACCTGTAATCTCAGCACTGAAGAAGCTGAGGCAGGAGGATTGCAAGTTCAAGGCCAGCCTGGGCTATATAACAAGACCCTATCTCTAAAAAAAATTATTTCAGCATCCAAATTTACCATCAAGAATGCTACTTACCTTTGGTTTTCTCGTATCTGCATCAGGAATGGTCACAGCCATGTTTCCCTTTGGTCAAAACTTTCGGGATCACAGTCATTGTGACCTTCTGGGCCTTTGGCTGGCCCAGACTCTATTTCTAACACATACTCTCCATGGTTACTGGTTGCTTTCTGAGACAGGTCTGACTATGCAGCCCAAGCTAGCCTTGAATTCAGGATCCTCCTGCCTCAGCTTCGCTAGTACTGGGATTACAAACATATGCCACCACACCTGGCTGTTCCCCTACTTTTCAACACACACAGTATTGTTACTTCACACTTCTAACCAAATTTCCAGGAAGCATTTGGAATAATACCAGAGACTTAGTGTTTGATCAAAACTACGTCCTCTGCTTTACTCATTAGGAAGTGACTAATCTTGACCTTTAGTTTGCAAGGAGCAGAATGCATGTGTTTCACGAGTTTGCTGGTGTTTACTAGCTGAAACACAACACACACATCACCAATGGAAGCGCCGAAACAGGGTTCACTTCCTCTAAGAGAGCCCTTGGGGCACTGCCCTGTATGGTGGGACAGTCCTATTCTGTAATAATCCTGGGTAAGTACGACTTACCTGGGTTGACAACTCTTTATCTGAAGTGCTTAGCACCAGAAATGTTTCAGATTTCAGTCTTTTTTGGGAATTTGGAATATTTGCATATACATAATGAGACACCTTATGACTGGGACCCAAGTGTAAACACGAATTAATTTATACCTCACATATACCTCATACACGTAGCTTAAAGGCAGACAATATTTTTAGTGTGTCTGTGTTTTGACTGTGACCGTAATACAAAATCTGATACAGAATTTTCCATTTGTGGTGTCATGTTTCAGATTGGGGATGTCAACCCGCACTGACTATTCAAAGTGAATCGTGAAATTCTCAAACAGCATTTAAACTCAGCTTAGTATTTTCAATGAATGCTCCAGAACACTGGCTCTCAGCCCTGACTACACGCTAAAACCACCTGGAAAAGCTTCAGAAAGACCAACACCCAGCTTCCCCTTCTCTCTGCCAATGCCCTTCAAAGACTGGTCTAATCGGTTTGGAGTAAGATCTACACATCAGTACTTTCTAAAAAAAAACCTCAGCTATGCTAAATGAATTAAGGCTCCACCGCTATGTTCTTTATGTGTAACAGCACTGTGGTTCTATATATTTTAGAGAGTTCTTTGCTAATGGAAAAAATGTTGAAATTTAACTGCGGTCTTCACTTAGTTAACAGTATTGTACCAACGCTAATTTCCTGGTTTTGATCATCTTAGAAGGTCAGATAAAATGCTGGCTTTAGGTGAAGCTATGGGGGTATTCAGGTACACTATTATTTTCATCTAAGTCTAAAATGAATTCAAATTTTAAAGTTAGAAAACAAACCTTTGCTTTTAAAAGATCCTTTTAATGCTTAAATATTTCACAATTCTATGTCTGAGATTTACTGTAAAACAGACCAGCTAGGGAGGTGGTGGTGAGTAGGGGTGTGGATGACAGGGAGTGTTCCCAAGGTGATGGCTGTAGTAACAGGGTGGTGAGTAAATGCAAATTTACCACACTACTCTGCCTTGTTTAGTGGGTGTGAAAATTTTTCATCAATTATTGGAGAAAAAAGTTCCCAAGTGATGCGCACATGGAACCAGGGCCAAGAAGCACTGTTCTGCAGCCCTGATGATGTGGCACGACAGCACCTCTGTCTACCAGCTACAGAATGTGTTTCCCAGCTCCCTGGCACTGAGCCCACCACCCAGTCTGTACTGCACACTGCTAAACTGCAAAACAAGATATGGATTAGAGCACTTTTAAAGAACTCAAGGAGCAAAAACGGCCAGCTGATTATTCTAAAACCTTCTGAGAGTTAATGCAGAGTAAACTTCCAGCACAATTGTCGAAAACAGTAGTCTTAGGTCTATAAGAGCATTTCCCAAAGTATTCTAAAAACCTTTACTTCTATGAGACGTTAATAGATGTGACCTTAAGACAAATGTTCTGAGCTGAAGGCAGTTTGAAGAGTGCTGGTTTTCTTGACCATAAGACTCCTAAGAATGGTAAATAATATGCATTGTGATTCTTCAAGGAGTGGTGATGACTATGCAAAAAGTTTGACCTTCTTTACCTTTTCCTATAATACTTGAGACAAGTGGTTCCCACATCCCAGCTAAGGGAGGGTAAACTTCCTAAAATAATGATTCAGAACACATGTTACACCTGTTGGAGAGAGAGGAGAACTCAGTATTTAAACAAACAAATAAGCAAGCCTGATGATATTTATGCACACTCATGTTTGGGAACTATAGCTCTGTAGACCAAAAATAGTAAAATAAGTTTATATTATTTGAAAGGCTACATCAATGCCAAGCAATGTGAAAGGTCTTTTTAATAGTTTTCTAAATAATTCATTATGGTCTAGATGTGAAGTGTTCCCCAAAATGTCCATGAGCTGAAGGCTTGGTTCCAGCTGGTGCATCCAGTTCTCGAGAGGACCTGGATCGTGTGGGATCTAATCGAATCCACTGGTGGAATTATAATTTTGTGGCATTATGGGAGAGGAAGTAGGTCACTGGGGCATGCTTTTAACGGGCATTTTGCCCCTGCCTCTTCCTGGCTGCCATGAGGCCAGGTCTCTGCTCTGCAACATGCTCCCACCATGACACTGCCTCACCACGGCCCAGGAACAAGAGCCTAGTGACCGTGTACCGACACCTCTGAAACCACGAGCCGAAATCAACCTGTCCCCCTATAAGTTGTTTATGTTGGATATTTTGCCACAGTGATAAAAGGCCAGATAACACAGCACTCAATCCATGAAAGAATAGTTCATATAATTGTGTATTTTATAAAGTACTACAATGCTGGAGGTGTTGGCCAATTTAAATCTGTTGACATCATCATAGCTACTTCATAATCTTGAGGATGCACTACCTCTATTACTAACTGAAAAGTAATCTGCAGTGACTGTCAGCTTGTAATGTGTTTGTTTCTTCATGTCTGCCTTCTTTTTTTTGTGTGTGATTATAAATTTTATTAGACTCAGAGATGAAGATCTTCATCAAACTAAAAAAAAAGTACAAAAGCTACATACAAAAACGTGAGATCAGACGACTAAACTTTCCTGACTCAGGGCCAAGTTCATGTCTGCCTTCTTCTCTCACCAGAGTTAATGACCCCAGGTCATTTGTTGGAACCAATCCAAAGAGTGCCTTTCACATAAGTGTTTTCTCCAAGACAGAGTACCTGAACTTTCTTTTATAACACTACTTCAAGGTGTCAGGAATATAAATCTCTTCTTGACTGAAAATTTGGGGAGATACAGTTACCCATTCCTTGGTGCTCACAGACTGTGCCAGGCAGTGGTCTGGCCAATGATACATTTCAGTGCTTGAAAGAAGAACCAACTGAATTACTGTTACTGGTAATTACACAATATTTATATCATGTTCTATGGATTTTCATGAATGATACTATGTGTTTCCTCATAAAAGCCTGTGGCCTAAGTAGGCATAATCACTTCCACACAGCCGAACAATGACCAAGTGTCGTGTACTCGCACAGTGGAAAACATAACTGAGGAAGACATCAAGACCCCTACTTTCAAAGAAATGATAACCTACTGGGAAAGAAAATGTAAATTATATACAGGAAACAGTTAAAGTCAATTCAAAGATAAAATGTCAGCTACAGCAAATTAGTATGGCAAGGCTTTACACACATTAATAAGGGCTGACACTGAACAGTTTCACTGTCACTCAGCTCTTGGGGTAGAGCACCCCATTTCTCATGAGGTCTATACTTTTTTTTTTTGGGCAATGCTGGGATTTGAACTCAGGGCCTCCCACTTGCTAGGCATGTGCTCTACCACTTGAGCCATGCTCCCAGTCCGTTTTTCATGAGGGAACAGAGACATTAAGCAACTTGCCCAACCAAATCAGTTGAACCAGGAATCACACTCTAGGTTATTCTAACTCATAGACTGCTCTTCACCAGCACATTCTACCATGAGAAAAGACAATCTCACCCAAAGCAATGGGGAAAAACATGGGGCTTTAGGTGAAAAATGACTACTTCCCACGAAGCTGGGCCCCCCAGCTTTCCTACCCAGTAAAGACGAGTCAGCCCTTCCAGGACTCAGTAACGAGTCAGCAAGGCTTGTTACTTTCCCACAGTCTGTTGTTACCTCTTTGATTCGTTTAACCAAAGCATTCTGATCAAAAGCAACGGCCTCAGCACACTGGTGCAGGTGGTCCTGGTATCGGAGGCAGAGCTGCAGCACCTGCTGAGAATCCAGTTTCTCCAGTCTGGCATTTGTCGGGGATGTCTGGCCACTCAAGAGTCCTTCAGGGAGAAAAAAATTAGTGAAATGAAAGGGCATTATTGCTAACAAACTTGTGAGTAAGCTAGCTTAATCAGTTTGCTGCACACAGGGTAAGAGACATGTTAGTCTAGCAACTCTGCTACATGCTAATGACAATCACTGCAACGATCCTTTATGGACATCCATAATTGCCACCCTTTGCCATGTGCCTCCTGTGCCTCACTTTTCAAGTCATAATGCCTAGAAAATAAGGTATTATTAATCCCACTTTATAGATGAGTCAGGCAAGACACAGAGAGGCTGAGTTTCTCCAATGCAGTGCTCTCACCTCAACATACTACTTCATGGTTTTAGGAATACAAACCCCTTCTTGATTCATAATACCAAAAGATATATTCACTTAATTGCTTCTGGTAATTAAAATGGTTATCTGAGAAAATGAGAAAAATGAAACTGTGTTAGGAAGCTGTTTGGAGGAGATTCTAAAATGAAAAAATTTAGTAAGTAAACACACTGCCAGCTACCATGCCAGAAAATCACTCCTTACATTTTTGCAACACGAGCTTAGTCGTGTAACTGTTAACTGCCTCTGCTTTAGTGCAGGGGGTTATATTTCCAAAGCCTTGCTCTCCTTTAAGGAATGTAGGGCAGGATAGTGTTACAGAGGCTAAATGACTTGGCCATGGTCACAAGGCAGAGCCTGGACCAGAACTTAAGCCTGTGGACGTTTGGTTGCATGCTTTCTGCCAACGAAACAGCGTCCAGACTTTTGGTGTCAAAATCGCTATACGTTCTTAAAAACTACTGAGGGCCCCAAGGAGTTTTGCTTGTGTGGGTTATTCCTCATGCCATTAAACTACTGAAAGTTAAAACTGAGGAAATTCTTACAAGTTAAATCATTTAAAATTAACAGTAACACCACTGTTTGCATAAGTAGCATATTTTAAGGAAAACACCTACACTGCCAAAACAAAAAAGTGGGAAGAGTGACATTAGCTTATATTTTGTAGGTCCGCTTAATGTCTGCCCTAATAGAAAACAGTTGTACTCTCATATCAGCCTCTGCATTTAATCTGTTGCTAGTCCTCATAAGGTAGTCTCTAGAAAATTCCACTGCATGCTTGTAAGAAAAAAGAGAGCAATTTGCTAATAATGACTAAGAATTATTACAAAAATAGTTTTGACCCCAGAGACACCCTAGCAGGGTCTTGGGGAACCATCATGCCCCACCATGCTCTGTTCTTGCACTAGAGTCAATGCTACAGCACCAGGAACATGGACATATATCTGACACTGGAGCACACGCTGGGATGACTGGGACAACTGGGACAGGACCACCACATCAAGGTCATCTGTGAACCTTCCCCACTTCTGCCCCGATCCCTGTCAACCCCTCCCTGTTCTGATGCACGGAACTCAAGTCAACATGCTTTCCCCAAAGATGCTGTATGACTGATGGGCTACCCAGGTGGGCTGTCCAGAGAATCCTCAGACACACGGCTTGGCGGTCTCAGGTCTGACAGAGCAGAGAGCAGGGTTGGAATCCGAGGTGTGGCTCAGACCCACCACTTCCTACTGCCAGACCTATGTCCCTCAGTTGGTCCACTGTTAGTCTTCCCACAGGAGAGCACAAATTACTCCAACTGAACCTGCTTCTGGGATCACAGAAGTAGGGACTTATAGTATCACATACCAGGACACCATTGATACAATCCACTGATCTTATCCAGACCTCCCCATTTTATCTGCACTCACTGTGTGGGTGGGTGAGGGTGCATTTAGTTCTACATGATTTTTTCATGTGTATGTTCATGTATCCAATGCCATGGTCAAATACAGAGCTTCATGTGTTGCTTTCACAGACACACCTGCCTCTCCCCCACTTTTCCTCCCCATGTCCCAGGCTTAAACCCACAAACACTAATCTGTTCACCATGTCTAGAATTCTGTCCTTTAAAAAGGTTTTATATATACATACGTACATTATATTGTATTATATACTTGCTTGGTTTTGGTACCAGGGATTGAACACAGGGCTTCGCACATGCTAGGCAAGGCTCTACCACTTGAGCTGTGCCACCGGCTAACCTGAAAATGACAAAAAGGTATAGGTCTACCTTTTTCTTTTGGTTGTTTTCTTCAGTGCTGGAGAGCACACACATGCTAGGCAAGCACTATACACTGAGCTACCTCCCCAGTGCAAAAGTATTATATAAATGAAGGAATACAGTAAGTAGCCTTTGGGGATTGGATCTTTTCACCTGTGGTACATTAGAGATTTCTCCATATTGCTGATATATTAATGTGTTTCTTTTTATTTCTTAGTATACTCCATGTACATATGTACCAGTTTGTTTAATCATTCACTCACTGAAGAACACTTGGGTCATTTTTTAGTTTGGGCCTACTACAAATGAACATGCCATGAGCAGTCACATAGAGGTTTTTGTGTAAATTAGGTTTTCATTTCTCTGGGACAAATGTCTATGAATGCCATTGCTGGATCATGTGTTAATTGCCTGGTTAGTTTTATAAGAAACTGTCAGTTTCCCAGAGACCAATAAAATCTCCTGTAGATTTATGAAGGGCTACTCTATCACTGACAAGGAATACAGTTCCAGGAAAGAAAGACTGGGAAATGATTTTGCTTTCAACGTAAGAATAAAGGAAGATAATAGGGAAGAGGCAATGTGGAAGAGGAATGAATGACTTTGTGTCACCGAAAGTGTGCCATAATGGCCTCATGGCAAAAAACCACAAGTTAAAATTAAAAAAAAAAAAATCAAAGGGCTGGGGACAGAGCTCAGTGATAGAATGCTTGTCTAACATGGACAAGGTCCTGGCTTCCATTCCCAACATCTTGAAAAATATTTAGCAAAACAAAAGCCTGGGAAGAATATTTGCAATTCTTATCAGGAAGAGTGCTATGAATATAGAATATAGAAAGCTCCTAGAAACGGATAAAAAAATAGGAAAAGAAAGATGGACAAAGGATATAAAAAGGCATTTCACAGAGAAGGAAAAATACCATTAGAAAAGATGTGTGTTAAGTCAGTAATGCCACTGTGGAGGGCAATTTGGCTTGGGTCATAGCATCACAAATGCACATGGCCCCTGTGCAGAGTCCTGCTCCTCCAGCCCGAATCCCACGCACACTTCCACACAAGCCTAGTGATGGCTGGTGCAACAGAGGAGTGCTCACCGCAGCAGTGGAAGCAACAGTAAAAGGACAACACAGCTCAATGTCACCAATGAGGCTTTGTTAAATCAAGGCTCACCCATCAGTAATACCACATGAGCAGAGAAAAGAATAAGGAGGCTCGCTATGTGCAAGTACAGAAAAAATTTCCATAGGATATTAAGTAATCAAAAAAGAGAGGTGTGTGGAGCAGTGGAATATGCTACCACTGGATAAAAAGGAGGTGAAAGTAAATGAAAATGCATGTTTAGATTTGCTTGTGTTTGCCTAAACAAACTCTGGAATATGCATAAGAATTACATGGAGAAGAAGGGTAGGCAGGGTAACCTTCATAGTATACTCATACTTTTCCCCTTGAAAACTTTTTAAATAAACTCATTTTAACAAAAAGTGGCCGGGTCTTTCCCATCCATCAGTAATGTAATCTTAGGTAGTTCTCCCTTCTTCCCACTCTGTGTACAAACCAGTATGAGGTGGCCCAAATCCACAACAACCAGTTCCTTACCCTTTATTTTCACCATGGCTTTTATGGGCAAACACACCTTAAAGTGATTAAAAGCGTCACAACAAACCAAACTGGTTGAGGCCAGGGGCCATATGTTGCTTATCTTTTCGCCTGTGTCTAGCATAGCACCTGGCACCTGGGAGGCTCCAAGATAGAATAAGAAGGTGCTGTTCCACCCTCTGGAGTTCCCTAGTGCAGGAGGAAGAAAGGCTGCTCCACACCATCTGAGCGAGGCCTTGTCTCAGTCTGGACAGCTCTGCTTTTCCAAGGTGAGTGAGGAAGGTTGCTAAGGCTCCAGAAGAGCTGCAGTGCTGCATGAGAAACCCAAGCTAAGATGGCTAAAGCAGGGAGCCCAGAGCCACACTTCAGCTCCTCAAGCAAAACCCCTGCTCTATGTCTTAATGGAGGGATTAGGAGGAAGAGGAGGAGGACTCCAGAAAGTTGCCAGGTTTCTGAGGCACACTAAGGTGTTCAATTTAAGTTGCCTAGCTAACTTCAAAGTCACTTTGTCATTAAAAACAAAAACACACAATTGTACCCTCCCTCTCAGCATCTAAAACCAAATCCCAGCACCATGGGTCTATCATCAGAATGTGCTTCCTTGACTCAAGTGACCTCTACAGATCTACCATAAACCTTGCCCACAGAAAAGCAAGATAGGGCAGAGAAAAAAAGATGGGTCACTTTTTCTACTCCTGAGTGGTGAGAACCCAGGCAAAGCCCAGAGGCAACGAAGATATTTTACCACCACCATCAAGTAGCAGGAAACCACCCCTCCCTACTGGTGGCACATAAGGGGTGGGGGGCTGAGTAAATTTAGAGTCGGTAGACTGTCATTTTTAGGAGACATTAACTGCCAGCTCAGAATTGTTTTATTCTTAGTGGACATTACATTTTCTTTTTCTTTTACTTGTCTCTTATTAGTGAGCTGGGTTTCATTATGACACTTGCATCCCTGCATATAACATCCTTGGATCATTATCTACCCCTGTTACCTACACTTGTTCCTCCCTCCCCACTAGTGTCTGTCCTCTGTCTTCCCTCATAGTTCCTCTTGTACTCACACAGATCTCTCTCTTTTCCTCACTTAAGAGAAAATGTGATATTTGTCCGAGTTCAGCTTATTTCACTTAACATGCTCACCTCCAGTTCCATCCATTTTCCTGCAAATGACCTGACTTCATTCTTCTTCATGGCTGAATCATACTCCATTGTTTTTCTCTCCCAAGTATTTTCTCTATCTATTAATGCTTGTACTCACACAGATCTCTCTCTTTCCTCACTTAAGAGAAAATGTGATATTTGTCCGAGTTCAG